CTGAGAAGTTAATCTTCTAAGACTTACATTGGATCTGCCTTGCCTGGAAGGTGCATGTTCTCCTGCTGTACATTGACAAACTTCCTGTTAAATTACCTCTTTACTTCTGCAGTATCTTAGGAAATGGAAAGTTGAAGAATTGGGCACACTAAGTTTGGAGTCAGCTGTGATGGTGAATGCTTAGTTACAACCCCCTTGCCCTGGAGGCTTAGATAGTAGGACCTGGAGCTACACTGAGCTAGCTATCTCACAGTAGGATTCTGTCTCAAAAGCAAAACAAAGAGAAACAACATGAAGACATTTATTTTATTAGACTTTATGTTCTGTAAAACTATGGCAAGTTGAAGTAGGAGGACATATCATTGAGCTTGTCTTATTATAAAAACACTTTCTTTAAAAATTTAGTCATCTTTATGGTTGCTGTGATGGCTACTCTTGGTTGTCAACTTGACTACATCTGGAATTAACTGAAATCCAAGTTGCTGTTTTCACCTGTAAGGGATTTTTGAATTGAATTATTTGAAGTGAGAAGGCCTGCCCTAAATCTGGATCTTTTGAGGTAGTAATATTCCACCTTAAATCTGACCAGACCTTCCAGTGGAAGCCTCTATAAAACATGAGGAAGAAGGAAATGTTAGCCTGCTTGACCTCACTCTTTCTGGTCAGTCCATCCTTTCACTGGTATGAGAGTTTACTTCCTCACGATTCCAGCAGATACTCAAGACTAGCAGAGACATCCAGCCTGGTAGACCGAACAACTATAGGATTCTGGGACTTTTATGTGGTTACAGCCATTATTGGATGAGCTGGACCACAGCCTGTGAGCCATTCTGATAAATCCCTTAGCATATTTTTCTCTATGTTCATTCTATCAGTTCTGCTCCTCTAGAAAACCCTGACTAACGCAGTAGCAATGTGCACAATTTAGATAGCAAATCACTCACAATTACTGAAATACAGCAGCTTTTCTGCTAGTTTTCCATCTTTGAGGGTAGCCTCGAGATTGGCCCATGGGAATGTCCCAGAGATTATGCAGAATGCAGAAAAACGCTTGTCTTTTGTGCCCGCTGATGTCACACCATGCTGCATGTATCTTTCCCACTCTTGAGTTCCTTCAGGGCAGGAATAACTGTTCATTCCTGGTGTATATAATAGATAAACAAATGAGCAAATGAAACAAGCTGTGGGTAGGGTAGGAGACTAATTCGGAGGAGATGACCTTATGCCTGAAGTCTTTAAAAGGTTCCTATGTCTTACAAAGGCCTGGGGTAGATGGAGGCTTATTTTATTATTTGATCTAGCCTTCCCAGCTACTCTCTCCTGCCCTCTGGTATGTGATAGCAATTATTCATTCTTGACTAGGGAGGACACTTCCCTGTACCCACTAATTATGCTGAAGGCTCACATAGCTAGCCATGTTTAGGAGAAAAGTGAATGTGTGGATGGGAGTCTGTCAGTATAGGAGATACAGTGTTCTGGGGTAGGCTTAGATGCTCAGTGGTTATCTCACTAAAAAGAGTTCTGGATATTTTGACTCTGCTGTTTTCATCTCAAAGTGAAACATTAAAAAATACTTCAACCTTTTCTAAACCAACATGATGGTATGTATCTAGAACATAGTTCGTAGAGAAAATTCTACTACACAAAAGTCATATCTTATTTTTTAAAAAACACTATTACATTTACTTGTTTTGCAAGAAGAAGGCATGCATGCCATTGCATGTGTTTGGAGGTCAGGGGCCAACTTGCAGGAATTGGTCTTCTTTTATTAGTGATTCTCAACCTTTCTAATGCTGTGACGGTTTAATATTTTTCCTCATCTTGTGGTGACCCTCAGCCATAAAATTATTTTTGTTATTTCATAATGGTAATTTTGCTACTGTTATGAATTATAATTAAGTATTTTCAGAGGTAGAGGTTTCCCAAAGGGGTTGTGACCCACACGTTGAGAACTGCTGTTCTACTGTGTGGACCCCCAGGGTTTGAACTCTGCTGCTCAGACTTGGTGACAAGTGCCTATTGTGCTTTGCCATCTGTTGCCAGCCCCAAATGCCTAATTTTCTGTCTGCTCATAATGGGCTTTTACCACTTGCCTCAGCTGACACTCTAGAGGCCAATGTTTCATCGAAGACATTTTTCATATCAAACCTGCTTTACAGATTTTTTTATATGTGTGTGTCTGTGTATATGTGTGTGTACATGAGTACAGGTGCCCACAAAGCCAGAAGAGGGTGTTGGATACCTGGAACTGGAATTATGGATAGTCGTGGCTGCTTGCTATGGATGGTGCTAGGAACTGAATTCTAGTCCTCTTCTGGAAGACCCACAAATATGTTTCTCCAGCTCACAATGGAATTCTTAAGAGAGTTGGATCCTAATATTGGAGAAACTTGTGAGGGTATAAAGCCTGAACCTTCTCTGATCTGACCTTTTGGGTAGTCCTGAGGGATGGATGCCCCTGGGTGCAGGTAGACCTTGGAAAGTGACAGCTGCTGGCCCAGACTGAGTGTCCGAGTGGCATGAAGCCAGCAGAGACCACCCGGTCTGGCTCTTGGGACCTGATGCTTCTGTGTTTGGCACCAAGATACTGGAAAACTGACACCAGTTTCTTTCATCCTCTGCCTTGCCTGGATCCTTTGTGCACCATGAGCCCCCTGTCTCAAGTGTGCCTTGGGTGGAGGTCAACAACAGGAGGCTCACCCTAGAGTGAAGGCCTTAGTGGCAGGAGGACCAGCAAGGGTCACATCTACAACTGTGATGCAAGACTCCGGCCCCCAGAGGCCTCAGAGATCTCCAGGATTCAGGACAGGACACTAAACAGGACAGCCAACTGGGGCTTGCAGGAGCTTGTTCTATCTATGGCAACAATAGTGTTTCAGACAAACATAATCTCCTTTTGCCCAAGGCTGGGCAGGCCCATCCCCTGCCTGTAGCTTAACTGTTCAAAGGGTAGGTGATGAGCCCCAGAAGGCTGCTTAACTTGGCAATCAAACCCAGTTTTGACATACAATATATACCATCTTCTGAGGCTTTATTTTAGATGGGCTTTGGTTTTTCTTGGGTCCACTTTTTTTTTTTTTTTTTTTTTTTTTGCAAAATCCAAACTGTGTCATTTTTTTCCACCATAATTTTCAGTCAAATGGAAACACCCATTATTAGTTTTGTGTTGTTCTTCTAAATTTCCCCGTTAATTTGTACCCTTAAATGCTATCCAGTATTATTTAATTTTCTCATAAGTGTTTAAGCATTTTAGTTAAAAAGGACCTGTGGGCAATTATAACCATTCCCAGGGCTCTTTCTTTGTAACCAGTAACTTGGGTGAAAGACAAATACTCCTGTTTACCTTTAGAAGCAGCAAGCAAAGCTCAGGAATGGACAAATATGGATTTGGATGCTTGACTGAAATAACAGACTCAAGCTACCATGCTTTATGGCAAGGTTGCTGACTCTTTTCGGGTCAGAAACCTTTGTTGTATGAATGTGACAGTGCTATGATTCATATTTTCACCTTCATTTTGTGCTTTGTCCTAAATTTACTAAGATTTCTCTGAAGAGATAAGTTTTCCTCAACTCTTAATATTCCCACCCCACCCCCCACTTTTTTTTTTTTTTTTTTACATTGAGGTCAAGAAGAGTTAGGATAGTATTTATTTTTTGCAATTCCTTCCCAAACCACGGAAGTGAACGTTTCTAGTCATCCCTTTCTTTATTAAAAAAAAAAATTTTTTTAAGACTGTGAAACAAAGATTTGAGGGATTGACGTGTTACAGCAGGGGATGGCATCCTAGAACGCCACTGAGTTCGGACAATGGCAGCCTCCTTTGTAGAAGTGTTTGCTTTCAGCGGTGAAATTACCAGAAGACAGAGAAAGCAGGTCGCCACATGCCTGTGGCTTGTTCTACCTCCTGCTGACCTTACTAAGTCAAGTGTGTTTGGTGTGAGGTTTAACTAACAAAGGCTTTCAAAGGAAGCCTGCAGGCCTCATGGTTAGGTGCTCCGCAGGTCCGGACAACACTGCAATTGTCTTCTGCAGACTGAAAACACAATCGTGGTTAAGGGGCTCATTTTGATCACAGTGACTGACGGGTGACAGTTGGGTCATAGGACACTGGGATGAGGTAAACAAACTGTTGTGAAGACTCAGTGTTGGCTCTTTGGACTTCTACACACTGTCAAAAATTGAGGGACTCCTGGGGTTTTACTTTATAATGTATCTATTGACACCTTGGAAAGGGAACGCAAATACATAAATAAACGCCAAGTTTCTTTGCCTGTTCCAAACCTTATACGAGTCTGCAATAAAATGAAGAGCAAAAAAATTTTAAGTGTATTTAAACAGTCCTCTGAGAGGTGACAAGAACCTTAAGAGACATGGTATTGTCAGAGGAATGAAGTATCTCTGAAAGGTTGCAATGGAGTGTGGCATGCAAGAACTGAGGATCATATTTTGAAGACTGCTTACCGAGAATATAAACATTCCTGGAATATATATAAATATGTATATATAAGTATGTATATACATATTTATATATATTCCAGGAATGTTTCTTTTTCAGAGACAGGGTGTCTTCACTGGCTGGCCAGCAACTCGCTATGCACACCAGGCTGGCCTAAGTAATCATAAAAAACCCGACGGCCCGGGCTGCGAGCCCTGTGATAAGCCACGCCTAGCCCAGCCCCCAGGAACGTCTCTTGAAAGCGGCCACGGAGCTCGGGCGATGGTCCTAGCTTATGGCTAACCGGCCGCAGAGCGGGGGCAGCAGCGCCATCGGGCATATGCAGGCCTCATGGTTCCCTTTCCGAGTCTCTCCCGGGAGGTAAGCAGTAGGCTCTGCACTAACTGCCTTATAACTGCGTGGGCTCCCGCTTTTCCCGGTTGGCGGCCGGCCTTCGAGCCGCCCCCTCCGCCGCCGCCTGCTGGGCAGAGCCACCCGGGCGGCTGCGCGCAGGCCGTAGCGCGCAGGCGCGGCGCCCGCAGCCCCGGCCCCCCGGAACGGTAAACAGTAGCGTCACGTGACGCGGCCCCGCTCCTGCTCCCGCGCCGCACGCCGCACGCCGCACGCCGATGGCCGCGGGCTCTCGCGGCGCCGCACAGGCTCCACAAGGCGAGCGACCCCCGGGCCCAGGGAGGCAGCGGCTGCAGCGCGGCCGGCGAGGGCGCCACGCAGGCCAGCCGTAGTGTCGTCACCGCGGCGGCGCGGGCTCCGGAGCAGCCCCGAGCCCAGGCAGCGACGCCGACGCCCTGCGCGCACCCCCTCCCTCCCTCCGCGGCCCCCTCCGCCGCCGCCCCGCGGCCTCCATCTTCCTCTGGCTGCCGGCGGCAGCGCTCGTCTGCGGAGCGGGTGAGTGGCGGCGCCGGCCGCGGCGGGCACTCGCTCTCGGTGGCCTCCTTCCCCGTCCCCAGCCCCACGCGGGCGGCCCGCGTCCGCCGGCCCCTCGCGCGGCTCCCCCACCCCACCCCGGGCCGTGTGGTCGCCGGGGCCCGCCCCGCCCCGGCCTGCCCCACCGTTTGGCCCGCGGGCCCCGGGGCAGCGGTGGCGGCGCGGCCTGTGCGCGCCTGCCGAGCCTCGGGCTCTCGCCGGCGAGCGTGCCCGGCCTCCGCCGCCGCCGCCGCGCGGGCAAGCTGCGCGGGCCACGCCGGGTTCGAAGGCCCCGGGCCTGGCGCTGCGGACGCCGCCGACTCGCGGAGCCGGGGCTGCAGGCCGCGCCGAGGCCGAGGCCGGTCCCTGCCCCCGCAGCGGGCGAGTGCAGCGCTGGGGGCGGGGGGGGGGGCGACGCGCGCTTTTGTGCTGGGGGACCCAGGCAGCGGGGCTGCTGTTTGCCTAGTTTGAAACGGGAAGCCCAGAGCCCTGCCTGCAGACGGGACGTGTAATTTAATGAGCCGCTGGTCGATAAGTACGTGTTAATGGTGCTAAAGTAACTGATCATCTGACGCGGGGCGGGGGAAGGGGGCCCAGGGAGAGGGAGAGAGGGTTGTGGCACCATCCAGCCCGAGGACCTTTCCGTTCCCTCGGATGCCCCTTTCTTGTCTTTGGGTAGCTAAATGCCATTTCCTAGCCGTTATAATTCGAATGTGTGTTTTATTATTGCTAGTCGGCAACCATTAGTAGAGCGTGATTGTGGTTTGAGGGATTTGGCAACAATGCTAATTTAATGCCTACCTGATGTTAATCTTCATTCTCCGTACAGATAGATCTTTTAAAAAAGGACCGAACAATCGATGCTTTTCCCACATCGTGAATTTAGCTACCTTATTTAACGCTGAAATTTTAAGTTGATCACCGCAAATTTTATATTGCTCTGCTTAGTATTTGGGTCCAAACTTTGTCCTGTGTTTTCGGTTTGCAAACCTCAGTTCCTACCTTTTTTAAAATCCTTGAATGAAGTATTTGGTATTTTGAAAATGTGTGGATGATGTGAGTTACAGAAAAGAGACAGATGAAAGGAGCAAACGTTCTGTTGTAGCATCTTTATGTTTTAAGTTTATAGAGCTCTTCTAGAGCACAGAAGATGTTGAGAAAAATCAGTACTCTTTAGCATATACTTAGCCTCCCCCACCCCCACACACACACTGTTCTCTTTGCGGGTCATTTATGTTCTCAATAATTCTTCACTCCATCATCATCATCATTATCATCATTTATTTTAAAATGAATAGTCTGTTTTCCAGTGATAGTAACAATGTAAGCAGGAGGTTGAGGAGTCATCATAGCTCTGATGAAGCCACTCGTTCAGATAATTCTTTAGCAGCACAAAGACTTGTTGCATAGGTGAAATGGGCTATTTAACAAAAGAGTTAAGACCAGAAATGTTGAGCTTTGTCTTATAAGTTGTACTAGTGATATGCCAATGTGATAAATGAGTTAGTGGTGGGACCGAGGTTTTCTCCTGCCCCTTTTAGAGTTTATAGGTGTTCTTGACGAGCATGAGTGGTGTAATTTGTTTAGTGCTCTTGCTTCCTAGTGGAAGAATAGTGAGTTTATCCGTAGCACCCGATTAGTTATGTACGTTTAAGCTTATGTACACTTGTATGCTGGATAGTCTCATGTCATAAGAGAAAAATTGTCTATAAATATAGGTGGCAACTAGGTTAGATTAAACTAATAATTTTAGGATAGAGAAATCGAAACTTTTAATCACTTAAAGCCACATTAAAATTTAGCAGAGTCTGTTTTGGAATCAGCTAAGAAAAGTTTGATAGCTTTTGATGCATATTATTAGTGGTAAAACTTGGAAGGCTGTGAGTGACAGTTTGCTGTAAAATTATATTAAGAGTGAGATTTTGAAGAATTACACATACACATAGGAGGCATATACACAGAAAGAGACGCAGACACTCAACACTCAGACATGCACATACCACAAACAACACGGCCGATTGTGTCAGAAAGTTGGAAAGTACTACTTTGGAGGGCTCTGCTGTGTGTGATTCTTTATGGTCCCCAGGGGAGCAGCTCCCTTAGTCCCTGGGTGAAAGCAAACAAGCAAATAAGGAAAGGTAAGGCAGAAGCAGAGGGCTGCATTTTCCAGCAGGAAAATAACAGCGCACACCCTGGTAGATGTGTCCCCTCAGGCTGCATATGGCTGAGGACAGCTGCAGATGTGGTCCAACACAGAAACAAAAATAAAGAGTCGAGGTATTTGTTTAGTATGGGACGATCTTAGAAAAACTGCCGTGTGAACATGAGGCCTACAGTTTTTACATTTCAGGTGTCAAAATAGGTAATAACTTGATTCCTTGGCAAAGTAATATTTATTCAGTAATATGTATTCAGTGTTTGCATTTGGTTTTTTGAGAGAGTGTCTCTCAATATACTCCTGGCTGTTCTGGATGGAACTCACTATGTAGGCCAGGCTGGCCTTGAAAGCACAGAAATCTACCTGTCTCTGGGACTATAGGTGTGCACTACCACCGCCTGGCACATTTTGATTTCTTAAAAGTATGCTTTTTGCCAGGCAGTTGTGGTACATGCCTTTGATCCCAGCACTCGGGAGGCAGAGGCAGGTGGATCTTTGTGAGTTGAGGCTGGCCGGGTCTACAAAGTGAATTCCAGGACAGCCAGGACTGTTAAACAGAAACCCTGTCTTGAAAAAGTGGGGGCGGGGGGGGGGGGAGAGGAGAAAAAGAAAAAATATCCTTTTGAAGAAAATCCAGATTAAGTTCTATTCTTTTAAAGTACTTTGTTTATTTTAGTTTTTTTCTAGAGTGTCCTTTTTTTTTTAAAGGCACATGAATACTTCAGTTTCAAGGTGTTGGGATTTCTTAGAATGCTAAATATGTTCATTCACCTGCATTTGAAGAAATTCTTATTGACAAATGGCTGCTAGCTTTAAAAATATAAAATTGGAACAGAATATCTTGGGCTAAATCCCCTGACCCCTCCATGTATATGTGTTCATCCTCTGAGAAATCCTGAGATGCCTTAGAAGAAATGTAAGAGATCTTAATTTTTTAAACTATAAAAGTGATTTGTAAACTACTAAAGATTTAGGGTACTGTTGCAAGTTTTGAGAACAGGAAAGAAAAATACTCTTAATTGTTGCTGCTTGATTACATAGGAGATACCAGAACATTGATTGATTAAAGGTATATGAGCCCTGGGGACTCCAAGGGAAAGAGTTTTGACTAAAAAACAAAAGATAAAGGCGTTAGATAAGAAACCAGTGTATTAGAATCTAGAAAGGGATTCAATGTTAGGAAAGCATTGTTGGGATTGCCAAGTGTCATTTATTATGCTTAATTTTAGACATTTTTTGTCAGATAATTATTTGAAACAGGGTCTCACTACCTAGCTGAAGGGTGATTCTCCCTCCCCCCCCCCCCAACTCACAGAGCTCTCTCTGCCTGTGCTGGGGTTAAAGGAGGGTACCTCCACACCTGGCTCAGGAACTGAGTTTTTGACCATTTACACAGTGAAGGAGGGCTCTAAGAAAGTTGTTGAGACTTGAATATTATCCAGAAGTTGTTATTTGTTGGTATAAGTCTCAAGTATAGCAGACAGTTTTGAATAGCATGGTAGATACAGAAAGGCTAAGCATAATACTCCAATTCTCAGTTTGTGTGAGGTGAACATGTGAAACAAAACTAGGGTGTGGAATACATTTCAAGTTTTTAGCTGCTAAGTTTACTATTCCTCCAAATGATACCTCCATATACCTTGAGGATAGCCACTTTATTTTTTTATGCATGTAATGTGGCTAAGTACATATTCTCTGCTTTATTTTGAAAGAAAAGTGAGATACTTGTTCAGCATTTTTACAGGTTTTATTATTGTGACTTAAAGTTATAAAAATAATGCGCTAGTAAGTAGAGTGCATAAAATAAACTTTAGAAAGGCTGGCTCAGAAATCATACTGCCTGTATTGTGATTTGAGGACATTGGGTCTGTGACCTTTGGAAAATTAGATAACTATTTGAATTTTCATTTGTTCTTTTGTAGAAGAGAAATAATTGTACCTAGTTTACAAGGTCTGATAGTTAAGTGCTAAGTGTATGTTTGACTGTTAGTACCCATGCTATGATAATACTTCAGTTCAAAGTTCTACTGCAGTTTAATGCTATTTACAATACAAAATGACTACATTTTGAATTGAATTTTTTTCTTTTACCATCTTTGGCTAGAATAATTCTGCATTTGCATGTTTAGCTTCTACCCACTAGTTCTTTTTCTAAGTTCATAGATTTGCTTGAGTCTGGAGTCATTGTAGCTAGGCTGCCATTTATTCCTTTCATTGAATAAACTCAAGTCTTCATGATCCTTGTTTTCCTTTATGAGGTTTTGCTGGTAAATTCTAACTCATGAAACTAGAATAGAATTTGATAAGTGTGGACAGTCACTTGTAGGTTTGTACCTAAGGGTTTCATCATTTTCCTTCCTAGAAAGATAACCTAGGATTCTCCTGCAGTTTTTTAAATTTTAAAATAACTTAAAGTTGTATGGATATTTGTCTGTCTGTATGTTTATGCATGAATGCCTGGTTTCCACAGAGGCCAGAAAAGGGCCTTAGATCTCCTGGGACTTGAGTTACAGTTCTAAGTAAAGATGTGGGTGCTGGGAATTGAACCTAGGTCCCCTGGAAGAGCAGCCAATGTTCATAACCATCGAGCTATCTCTCTAGTCCTTATCTATAATGTTTTTATACCAGTCTTTTAAGAAATCACTTTGTTGCCACCCAAGTGAATTTAAGTGTTCTACTTCATATGCTGAACAAGAGGTGTAATTTGTAAGCTGTAGCACCTTTCTTATAAATTGTTAGTAACAGTAATACCATCCTAAAGGGTTGTGAGAATAAATGGCATAATACCAATGAGCTACTTACTTACTACAGTGTCCTGACTATT